AAGATGAACTTAACATCACCGATGCAAGGAAAAGAATCAAATTTCAAAGGGTCCATTGTTTGGGCAAACCAAGAAGCAGCAGCGATCCTCATCCGATTATCGCTCGTTTTCTCTGCTACCAGGATAGAGAAGAAGTTATGCAAAAAGCACAAGCGAAACTGAAGCAGTTTTTACTTGGTGTTGCAAGAAAAATCCCGATATTGTATTTTTACACCAAACGCACTTGAAAAAGGATACTGAGGTGCAATGGAGAAACGAATGGGGTGCCAACATTATATTGTCCCATGGAAACTCTAATTCTCGTGGGGTTGCTGTCCTATTGAAGAAAGGTACCGATTGCACTATTCATTCCAGAATCATAGACCCCCAGGGAAGTTATATTATTCTCAAAGCTGACATTGCCGACCATAAATATACCCTGATTAACATTTATGCCCTGAATAAGGACAATGATACAGCTAACTTTTTGGAGAAGCTAAGGAAAACCCTACTAGAAGAACATTTTGACGCAGATGAAAAAGTTATTGTTGGAGGTGACTTTAATTGTACTATGAACCCATTGTTAGACAAGAAAGGCAGTTCTTTGGCCCCACGTAAAATAGCAATTGCAAGTATTGAATGCTTTCAAGAGGAATTCATTTTAGTGGACATTTGGCGCGTCAAAAACCCAGAAATTAAAAGCTTCACTTGGTGCCAAAGCTCTCCACAAATATTTAGTCGTGTAGACTATTGGTTTATTTCTAATAATTTACAAGCTTGGATAAAATCAACTGACATAATTCCAGCTCTCAGAACAGATCACTCCGCAATTATGCTCGTGGAGGAGGACAATGGGCTAAAGCATAAGAAAGGTCAGGGTTACTGGAAAATGAACTGTACTATTCTAGATGATTCCTTCTATAACGATGAAATTTCAAATTTATTACCAAAGTGGGTTGGAGAAGGTCGAAAAGAATTGTCTGACAATAGAAGCATCTGGGAATGGACAAAATTTAACGTAAGAGACCATACAATACAATTCTTGATGAAAAGAGCCAGAAGCAGAAAGGATAAGGAAGCTCAATTAGAAAAAGAGTATGCCTCAGCTAAACAGATATATGAAAATGATTCTTGTGAAAACAACTTGAATATGCTGATTACGGCTTGGAAAAAGATAGAATCCTTTTATGAAGAGAAAACGAGAGGGAAAATAATTCGAGCCCGTTGGCATGAATACGGTGAAAAAAGTTCCAAATACTTTCTCAACCTAGAAAAATGAAACCACGTAAAGAAACATATGCCGAAACTGAATTCTAATAATTCATCGACCACTGATCCAATAGTCTTTCTCGCTGAACAGAAGCGCTTTTACCAAGATTTGTACACGAGTAGAAACAAATGTTCTAATAATAATGTTATTGAGACTTTTCTGATGAATTTAAACATCCTTAAACTCACAGATGAACAAAAAGATTCGTCCAGATTTTATGCGCTGGGAAGAATATTCAAAGTTGCGTTATAAATAATGGTTTCATGTTGGACTTTTTTGCCTTGGAACGTGGGGTCAGGCAAGGGGACCTATTATCTCCCTATCTCTTTGTACTAGCAATGGAAGCTCTAGCAATCGCTGTACAGCAGAATACGAGTATCAGAGGCATCTCTATCAATGGACAAGAAAACAAACTGCTCCAGTACGCAGACGATACAACAGCAACCTTTCTGACTTTAACTCAGCCCAAACTTTTTTGACTTATTAGATACTTTCAAACTGCTTTCAGGTTTAGCAATTAACTATAGTAAAACAGAAGGTATGTGGATCAGATCTTGTAAAAATAACAACTCTAAACCCTTGGGTATCAAATGGCCTCGTGAACCTATCAAGGCTCTAGGCCTTTACTATTCATACGACCAAGCCCTTCTTCGAGAGAAAAACTTCTTCGAGAATTTGGACAAGATTAAAAAACTTCCTGAACATGTGGTCCTGTAGAGGCTTGTCACTTTACAGCAAGGTGACTGTCATTAAATCCTTAGTTATACCGAAAGTCATTTACATATGCTCATGCCTGTTGCAGATGAATTTGTGAAAGAGTTAAATAGACTAGTTTACAAATTTCTGTGGAATGGAACAGATAAGACAACCCGTCTTTTGACAATTAACGATTATGCTAAAGGTGGTTTAAAAAATGATTGACATAGATTGTATGATTAAATCTTTGCATTTGGCCTGGCTACAAAGGATATTTTATGTTATGGGAGGCCTGTGCAAATGGTATCTCTCTCACCTTTTAGCAAAGTTTAGAGGTCTGTTTCTGTTAAACTGTAATTACGATGTTAATGACCTCTCAGTTCCTTCACTATTCTATTCTCAACTTTTGAAATGGTGGTCAGAGTTTCGTAAAGACTTTGCTTCTCCAAAAGACTGGCACGATATAATATGGAAAAATTGGGATATTCGTATAGATGGCAGTCCACTTTGTTATAAAAATTTCTTCCTCTCAGGTGTAGCGTACTTGAGGGATCTCCTTTTAAATTGCAATAATATTGATTTGAGATTGCTGCAAGGAACATAGAAAAGTCTAATTTTCTTGTATTTATGGGCCTTTGGGACTCCATTCCACCTCACCTACAGGACAACACTATAAGTAGCTCCCCATCCTCTACTATACCATCTTTCTCCACTGGCAATGGCAACGAGGTATTTTGTGTTTAAAATGTTAACCTAAGAAGTCAAGGGATTACTATTCACTACTTATCAGCAAAAAAGCCAAACTACCAAATGCAATCACCATTCTTCATAGGGATTTCAACCTGTCAGAAAAGCAACTACAACAAGTCTTTTTGCTCCCACATAAAGTTGCTCTTGAACACTACGTCAGAGCTTTTCAGTATAAAGTACTTAATAGAATCCTTTATATAAATGAAAAGCTTCACAAAATTGGCTTCATTTCACAGAAAGATTGTACGTTTTGTAAAAGCGAATTAGAAACTTTAACCCATTTGCTGTACCACTGTCCTTTCTCTATAGCATTTTGGAAAGATTTTGAGGTGTATTGGTCACTGGTAAAAAATGAGCAAATTCACCTAACTTTAGAAGATATCATAATGGGCATTATAAAAAGACCATGCCCCTTACTTAACTACTTTTTACTGATTGCAAAAATTTACTTGTGGGACTGTAGAAGAAACCAAACCTTTCCAACTATTTATGGATTTAAGGCTAAAATCGAACTTAAGTATGAAACAGAAGCGTACATTGCGCGAAAGAGTAATAAAATAGAATTTATACAATTCAAATGGGCGAACTGTTTTCTGTAAGATTACTACCAGTTTTACTATTATGTTATGTTTAACTGCAGTTATTTAACTATTTAATACTTATTCTTTTGTATAAATACATATACTGTATGGAATGTAAATAGCTGCATTGTAAGTAAGTGTAAGTGCACTGTAAGTAATGTGTAATGTATGTAGTTGCACTGTAAGTAACGTAAATAACTGTATTGTTTAATATAAGCAATGTGAAAATGAATAAAAAACATACACACTTTATTGCAACTCCCTACAAGGGTTCTTCAGTTACATGACTACTTATAACTTACTTATGACAAACTTACTTATAGAACTACTTAAAACTACATATTAAATAAATCATGATATATAACTGAACACTTCCTGAAAAAAATTTTTACACTACACTGAAACATTAATGAAATTCTCTTTCAGAAACAATTTCCTAAATGAAACACTGTTTCTAGTGCAAGAGTAAGTTATTATAAAAAAGGTACCTTACTTGCTTATTTTCATGATTTGGGAAAATGAGATTTTGATATCCATGATAAGACAGTAATTCGCTGAACCATGCCAGAGACCCCCCTGTACAACCCTCCAAGTAGAGTAATCAGCCATGCTCAACGCTTTTTTCATCATTACTTTTCTTCTTAATTACCGGTATCTCTTTGTCCAGTGATGCACATTGTAGTCAACTTTTGGGCAAAACTCTCTAACATACCCAGTAATAAAAGAAGTGTGTGTTGTGACTATTTTACATATGATACAATCTTCTATATTCAGCCTTTTTAGGAGTCAAAGTCTAATTTTACACCATCTTGCAAAATGAAACTTCCAATCTTTGTGCCAAGCCGCATGGGTCATGGGAAAGGACAATTCACTGTGCATGCAGAGCTTTTGTTGTCCATTTCTACCCATTCTCTTCCTACATTCCAATCATCTTCTACCACAATCTGGAATTCATTAACCCATCCACTTTTGTTCTACTTTCTCTCATATACTCCCTTTACCAAGCCTATATGTAGAAGCTCACCCTAATGACTGGAGGTGTTACCTCAAAGAACACATGCACTTGCAATGTGGATTCAATGGGTTAAACTTGTAAGCAAATTTGCAACTCTTTAAATTTTCCACCCTACCAGAATCTCCAAATTAGCAGCTTTGGTGTTGTTCCCAAGAGGCCAACCAGGGAAGTGGTACCTCATTGTAGATCTTTCCTCCCAGGAGGGGGGGGGGGGGGGGGGGGGGGTCACAGAGAGAGGCACATTCCTCAGTTAAAACTGCTCATTTTCTTTGCAGGACAGCCTTGGCCGGCAATGCCCTGCAGTCTTAGGGGCTGGCAGCCNTTTGAGGCCGGTTGAACACCCTAAGGGCTACCAAACCGCTAAAAGGTACGACGAAGACCCCCGTCCTTTTTATCCGGGAGTAACCCTCCCAGGGGGGGGGGGGGGGGGAGTGTCAATGATGGGATCAACCCAGATGAGTTTACCATTCACTACATCACCATGGATCAGGTGATTTGCCTAGTATCCAAGTTTGGTGCGGGGGCCCTTATGGCCAAATTTGATGTGGAGGTGGCATATCGCAATGTGCCTGTGCACCTGTCTCATCACTACCTGCTGGGAATGAAGTGGTGCAACCAATTCTATGTGGACTCAGCTCTCCCCTTTGGCCTTCAATCAGCTCTGTTTATCTTTAACACAATTGCAGACATGGTGGAATGGATCCTGGTCATTTCCTACCAGATACGAGATTGACTCCATTACTTGAGTGATTTCATCACTGCAGCCCCCCACCCCAGTCACAACAGTGCGCACATAGCCTGGGGACTGCCCTGGAAGTTTGCCAATGGCTAGGTCTCTTTCTGCACCCAGGCAAGCATGTGGGCCCCTCCACAGTGCTCATTGTCTTGAATATTGAGCTTGTCTCCCCTTGGAGAAGTTGTCATCTTTACAAGGTTTGATTAGTTCCTGGCTTCCTTGAAAGTGGTGCAACAGACAGGAGTTTGAATCACTAGTAGGACATTTGTATCATGCTGCTAAAGTGGTGTAGCTGGGTAGAACATTATTACGCCGCATGATTGACCTGTTATGCTGCTTACAGAGGAGAGATCACCCATTCATCTTAACCAAGAATTTAATCTGGACCTTCTCTGGTGGCACCAGTTCTTGTCTGACTAGCATAGCGCAAGCTTCTGGCTCTTCCTAAGACTGTTGCCTGAGGCTGATGTTGAAGTGTCATCTGATGTTGTGGGTTCGATCGGTTAAGGAACGCATCTGAAGGGCTACTGGTCTGCTGGCTCATGGGCTCCTTCCCAACAACAGCAGTCTATTGCCTATAAGGAGCTCTTCCCTGTAGTTCTTGCAGCTCATATCTGGGGACACTTGTGGGTCAAAAAACATGTCTTTTTTGCTCAGACAATGATGCTGTAGTTCACATCTTAAACATCAGGACCTCAAGCGTGCCCTGCTTAATGTGGTTGTTGTGCAGACTGTTATTCTCAGCTGCTTGTCATAGCTTCTCCTTTTCCTCTCACCATGTATCAGGTGCTAACAATCAAATAGCCTCTTCCCACTCCAGTACCCCCCAAACTCCTAGCAGAATTGACGTCTCCGCCTTGGAGCAGCAGTGCTACTTGCTTCTAACCCAAGGTCTCGCTCCTTCTACATGACAGTTTTATTTCCTTCTACTGTCAGCTTGGTAAGCTACATTCCTTGGGTTCTCCTTGCCCAGCTGACGAATGGACTTTGTGCCTATTTGCCACATTTCTGGCTCAAACAATACAGCACTCGTCAATTAAGGTCTACTCGGCTGGGGTTAGAGCACTCCACATTGAACAGGGGTTGCAAGATCCTCTTGCCAACTGTTTTTGCCTAGAGCGGGCTGTCTGTGGTATTAAGCATTGTCAGGGCTCCCCTCTTTGGCAGTCTTTGGATCTTTGTCTCCTGGATCACCACATGTTCTAGGCTGCCAGTTCACTCGGGTACTTTGGCTTACTGTGCACCTCACAGTTTACAGTGCCCAATATAGCTAGCTTTTCTCTATCACTCCATCTGGGTGTTCAGGGCGGGGTTGTTCAAAGCCCGATTAAGCTAACCCAGGATAAGCGCGAATTTTGATTTGACTCTTGTAACTTTGCAGTGAGATTTTCTGTTTATATTGTTTGGCTTTCTGTTTTGAGTTTTTATAATCTCAAAATACACAAAACATAAGCAGTGAAAAACAATTGTATACAAGAAATATTTATACTTCGGTTAACTTTTAATCGTGGGTTAGCATTAACCACCTTTTGAACAACCCGGCCCAGGGCATTGCAGTGGACTCTCCCTGTCAGCCTCTTCCTGCATGCGCTTAAAGACCAAGGGCTTGAAGACCGATCCCTTTAGGAAAGGCCGCTTCATCCATATTGGCATTGGCTGGCATCATCTTTGTGCAGTCCACTCTGTGATGACCTATCTCACTAGCAAGGGTAATGCACCAGGTCCCCTGTTCCTGTTACAGAATGGGCAGCCTCTTTCGTGTACTTGTCTCACGGACTGACTTTGGCAGATTATGGCCTCAGCTAACATACCTGGAAGCTTCTCTAGCCATAGCTTACGCATCGGGGCCACCACCATTGCGGTATGCAATGGAGTTCCTGATCATCTTATACAAGCCATAGGCCGCTGGTCTAGCAATGCCTATAAGCTTTACATCAGGACTCCATCAGAGTTGTTAGCAGCACTCTCCACTAAGCTGGCATAAAGGATTTACCTTAGTCACCTGCTCTGCCTCTTAGCGCTTGACTCCGGCTTATGTAGCATCATGCCCTAATACAAGTTTTTCCTGGGTCTTGTTGCACTATCCAGCATTTTGTCTCTTCAGCCTTCCCCTCAGCCATTGCTTCCACATCAGGGCTGCCTCCACCTTCGCTCGCAGTGGACTTCAGGATACCTTTTGCACTATTAGCACCACTCTGCTTAAAGCTGGCATAAAGGATTTGTCCTGGTCACCTGCTGTGCCACTTAGTGCTTGTCTCCTGCTTCTGTCACATGGCACCTTAATATAGTTTCCTAGACTTGCAGCAACATTTGGACATTGGCCTCGTCAGGTGTGTGCTGTTCATATTCACTATAACTATCAGATTCTAGGTGCTTGGAGTTAATTTGGGGATTGAAGGTTCCAGGTCACCATGTTCTTGGGTCCCTCCATTCTCCAAGCACCTGGAGAAAGGTTTCCTTTGGGTGGTTCCCGCTTCCAGGGTTGCTATGGTTCCCCTTCTTCAGCTTAGGGCTTTTTGCTCCCCACTTACCCTTTAGGCGTGACCTGTGGGGTAGCCCTCAGGGGATTCGCAGGGCTCTTATACTTCACCGCACTACTTGTGCAGTTAGCTGATCTTTCTGAATCATTTGCACTTTGTACTAGCAAATCTCTGCTGATTCTTGCTCCCTCTCCTCCCTCCCTCTTGGCTTGCTGGTTTCTTGGTAAGTATTGGTCAGGTCAGTTGTTTCTACTGATACCTTTCAGTGTGACAGTGCCAGTTAGCAGCTGCTTCTTGGGGGTGGTTCCCACTTCCAGGGTTACCATGCATACTTCCCTTCAGCTTATTGCTTTTTGCTCCCTGCTAACCCTTAAGGTTCCAGTTCCCAAGCTCATCTATTTGTGACGAGTTTAAAATGGGTTAACAAACTTGCAACTGGCCAAGCACTGTATTACTCACCTGGAGTCTGCAGACCAGTCTATACAGACAGTGTCATCAAAGAGGCCTGTGTAAGTTCTATGAACAGTGAAGGGTGCAAACTCTTTACTATAGTCAGGAGCATGCCAGACCTTGATTTGCTTTCCATGAGTAACAGCTATAAACCTTAAACAAAGAACAAAAGGTATAAAAATCACATTGATTTCTAATTCACTACATTTTACAAGTGGATATACCATAGGAAAGATCATACACCAGGTATATTTCAACTGTGCAGAAAGATGTAAAGACATAAATGATCATCACAGCTACGTACACATAAGGAGTTATGAAATAAGGGTGGAAAAAATTCAGGCTTGAATAGGTTCAAGGCTGTTAACCCAGATAATGGATTGGCTAAATGATAGGATTACTTTGCCAGGGTTTAACATAGTATGCAATATATTCTGTGTTGATTTACTTTGAAGGGCAGAGAATTAAGAGGCAAGAAGGGAACACAAAACAAATGGTTCAACAATGGATAGTCGCTATCTTGCACTGAGCACCTGGTAGGACTATGGCCGCAAAGTGTCATGGTTGATTACATACATATAGGCACGCAATGCGGGCATACTCATACTCTCACTAGCATATCAACATTCTGTATTAATTAATTTTTAACTTGTGAATTGCGATAGCAAGTCACAAGTTGTTGGTGGTGTGCAGATTATGTAACTGATATGCAAATGAGGAGTTGGTCATTCATCTGTTAAGTTTTTGTGCCATTTCTGCTGACCAGCAAAAAATCAGTGCATGGGTAGAAATCAGAGCATGCCTTCAGTAAATAGTGTGGGCACATAATTACATTATTTTAGATATTACATAAGTTTGCGTGTTGCACTAAAACTGGAAACTTTTATTGTTTGCTTTTCAGTCAGAGTTCATTGACAGCAAATTAGAAATAACAAACAGAACAAAGCATGAGCTCAATATAAGCCAAACATTGTGATCAATAGTGAGACAGAGGTGAAATTGATGGAAGCTGATATTGAATAGTTCCGAGGCAAACTTAAAGATTGACAGAAGGCAATCCGTATGTGGCTGCTAATATTGATGGTAGTATCATATTTGATGGTAGCATTAAGTGGTACGGGCTGAACCTGAATTATGAAATTTTGCAAACCAAAGCGAATTTCACTTTGGGCAAGTAGGACGATTTTCATGAATGTAAATCGGTCAACAGAAGACAATCTGTATGTATCTGCTAATATTGATGGTAGTATCATATTTGACAGTAGTATTAAGTGGTACAGGCTGAACCTGAATTATGAAATTTTGCAAACCAAAGCGAATTTCACTTTGGGCAAGTAAGAAGATTTTCATGAATGTAAATCGGTCAACAGAAGACAATCTGTATGTGTCTGCTAATATTGATGGTAGTATCATATTTGACAGTAGTATTAAGTGGTACAGGCTGAACCTGAATTATGAAATTATTTTTGCAAACCAAAGCAAATTTCACTTTGGGCAAGCAAGAAGATTTTTATGAACGCAAATCGCTCAACAGAAGGTAATCCGTATGTGTCTGCTAATATTGATGGTAGTGCTTATCATTATTTGATGGTAGTATTAAGTGGTACGGGCTGAGCCTGAATTAAGAAATTTTGCAAACCAAAGTGAATTTCACTTTGGGCAAGGAAGAAGATTTTCATGAACCCAAATCGAATGCGAACTTTAAAATTTTGCCTACAGGCCAAACTTTTGAGATTGTTCTTTTGTTTACAGTATGTATTGGGTTCATGCTGAGTTTACCTACTGGGTTTACGTTGAGGTGTCATATTACAAAGTCACACAACAGTCATTCAAATTTAGCTCGTAGAATTCTTCTCTTGTTAGACAAACGCGTCAGAGAATAAACAAGTCTGCAATTTAGTGAACAAGTCTGAATTTAGTGACCTGTGGAGAAAGATGTAAAGATCATGGCAGTTTTGTACATAGCTTAAGCAGTTGTGAAAATAAGACCTCAAATCAGGATTCAAACCCAAGACCTCTGCAGCACCAAGACAGAGGTGAAATTGATGGAAGCTGATCCAGAGTGAATTGCACTTTGGGCAAATGAGATTTTCATGAATGCAAATCGAATATGAGCTTTCGTATTGGCAGGAGTTGATTCTGAGAAGCTAGATATCATATTAAAAAGTGACATATAACAGTCATGCAAATGTGTCTTGTAGAATTCTTCTCTAGGTAGAAGAAACACATTGGGGAATAAACAAGTTTGCAACTATAGTTTTTGTTTTTTTCAACAACTGAAATCAATTGCGAGCTTTAAAATTTTGCCTTCAGGCTAAAATTCCGAGTTTATTCTTTTGCTTGCATTTTGGTTTTCATATCACATAACAGTCATGCAAATTGTTCTCTAGTTAGAAGTAACACGTCAGAGAATAAACAATGTTGAAACAGTAATTTGGATAGTTAGTGTCGCTTATTTTGTAGTAAAAAAATATTATTGTTCTCAATTGTTTGGAGGACTGCCAAAATTTTTGAGCAC